CCCTCGCTGCAAAATTTCCTGCTTAATACACCTGAAAAGAGGTTTCACATTCAATCCAACTTCTGAAAATGACCAGAGGATGATAGTTAGTGACCTTTCCTCAAATTCTGTCAAATCACGTCTCAATATTTCTTCCCTTAAGACTGCAAAAAGCTTGGCACCTTTTTCCAGTGTCCGTGCATAAGACCACAAAAATTGGCAGATTTCCTTGACCTTAAAAGTCGACAAATCCCTCGCCATTATTTCATTCCTAATAATTTTGTAAAGGTGCTTTGCACGGAACTGTGCTTTACCATAAGCCCAGAGAATCATTGCAAGGTCAGCATTTGTGAACAAAGTGGGATCACGACTCTTGATTTCTCTTTCAAAGTGAATAAAATATGAAATATCATTGAGTCCAAGAGTTGCAATACCATGGACAGTAGTTGCCAAATGAGTGGGCTCACACAGTTTACTCTTCCATCTGATAATATTGGCAAAGTGTTCTGTGGCAGCCACGACACGGTCATCACTGGTGAGCCTGTGTCCGTCTTGGCGCGCTGCTAAAAATGCGAACCGATTAAACAGCGCCACTTGAGCTGATAGAACAGCTAAGTTCTCATGATCGACGTTTGTCTCGTTCTTCAAGGCGTTGTATATCTCAAGCAACTCATCGGGGTCTGTTTCCATCTGTATTTGTCGCACAATGTTGAAAGAACTCGCGAGCTGATCTTGCTTGGATTTCACTTTCTTTTTCTTCTGTAGATCTTCCAACATCTCCAGCAAATGTCCATGTAACCACCTAGAGGCGTGAAGAGTTCGTGCTTGGATGAAAGGAATAAGCGAAGTAACGGTGTTCTTAAGCTTATATCCTCCACGCAAGCTTGAACTCGAAGCCGTTGAGCTCAGTTTATGCTCATCAGTCAGTGAACGAATCCTCGTGACAAACAAGTTGTAATGTCGAACTTGGCATACCGACCTTCTTCCTCGTTGAAAATTTTTCAGGTGAGGCAAATAAATCCGCAGCATCTGCGCTCTTTCTTTTACCACGTTTTTGTACATCACACCGCCATGTTGTAATAAATACCAGGATTGCATTATGGGATATATTCCGTGACCACAGGTAGCCCAGGGCCCGCTACCATTATTGGATAAATCTCTATCCAGCTGATTCAGTGGATAACCCAATTAGTTTCCCTAATAGTTCCCTACATAGAGAGTTATCCAGTGTATAATCTTATCCAGCGTTTGAACAACAGGCCGGGGCAAGAGTTATATATGAATATTTTATATCACTGTCTATTCATTTGTCCTGGTTAATTTTAAACGGAATTTTTCTGTGTTTAACTCTCAGTCGAATATCGTCGACTTTAGCTCTGATCCTCCTTTGTCGCTCTAAAATGTACTGTTATTGACATTACCAGCATATTTTAAAGTGACTCAATTGCTTGACAGAATCGAACGCTGGGTCTAGTTAACACTCAGCCATTACTGGGAGGCGCATGTGTAATCAGTGTGTAACACAATTTTCATTTGGGAACTAAAGGATTCAATATTTTGATTTTGGGGAGCGTTCATAATAGGTTGGGGCCGGGTAGGAGCCGGCACGGACCTTGGTGGTTTTATGAGGACTGGGACGGAGGACCTAGGACGGCCATTTTGTCTTTCTCTTGCCATTCAGCTGGTTCATAACAGTACGGGGCTATTGAAAATACTTTTGAAGCCAGAAGCTTGGAAGGGGAGGGAGAGGCCATTGATCAGATAAGAAACAGTCGTCTAAAATTCGACCTCGCTTTGGTTGTTATACGGGAACTACAAGCCGTGACTTTCATACAACTGAGCATCCTTGTAAATTGTTCTATGGAAAAACCAAACGAGAACAAAACTGTTTTACTTTATAAAGTTTATTTGCTTTTGTATTTGCTTTATCAGGTCCTCCTTAGGGATTAGGGACCGGTCATTGTTTATCACCTGGGGGGGGGGGGGGGGAAATAAACATATTAATGGTAGAATTTGTGAGGCCAATTGGATAATAAAGTCGGGAGAAGATAGAGCATAACTTAGCACATTCCTCATTGAAGGCTTCCGTCATAGATGACAAGGCATAGGCACGATGTAACATGGTCTTCAATAAACTGGGTTTGTAACTTTGTAACAGGGTTTGACTTCATGGCTATGAAAATGCAAGAGTAGACCAGTGTTGGTTGGCTCTCTGTAAACACAGGTTTCAAGGTCTGTTCCATTCTTAATTATCTCAATTCCAATGAAAGGGATCATATTATCAGCAGGAAGTTCCATTGTAAACTTCAGGCTTGGGTGTAGACCATTCAATGTAGTCAGAAAATCAGCAGCATTAATGGTGCTAGGCATTCTAGCAAGAGTATCATCATAATACCTCTTATACAGAGAGGGCACCATACCGTTGCGTGTGAGCTGTTCTCGAGGTGGCACATAAACACATTGGCTATTAGCGGGCCAAGAGGAGAGCCTATCGCTACACCATCAGTCTGCTCATACAAATGACCATCGAACTGAAAAGCTGATTGGTAGTGGCAACTTCAAGGAGCTGTGCAAATTCCTCTTTCTCAAGATTGAGAATATAAGTTTGAATAAACCAGTCGTCCGTAAAGGTTTTGTCGACCAGGATGTTAATGGTCCCACTTATGGGTACATTGGTAAAAAGGAATGAAACGAATTTCATCAGCAAATTCAAACATCACTTTCAGTGCTAAACTCTTTGTTTGACTTGTAACATATTTTTAGATGTTACTTTTCTTTTAATGAACTATTGTTTTTCTTGTATTATTTTATAGAACATTCATATTGTATTTCTTTTCACTTGATAAAGACATCCGGTAACATTGAAACGTCTTGTATTTTTTAACCTTTTTAACATTTCTTAAATGTTTTTAAGAAAAGTTTTTTGCAATTTTTCATACCTAAATGTTTTAAAAAGTCGCTTCTTTTTAATCTATATAACAAATCACTGAAAGACAGGTCCCTCAGGAAACTGTTAGTTTTGTTTCCCTCCAATCTCAATGTTTGAGATTCTCAGGAAACAAAATTAACTGTTTCCCTTGGGACCAGTCATTAAGTGTTTATTACATGTTGTTGTTCTCATGGTGTTGCAGAAACCTGCCAGTCTAACATACAACATCGCTAACAGGTTACCAGCTATTATACGGGTGCCTCCGATCTCCTAACAAGTTCTGCTTCTGTTGCGGCCACAAGTTCAGGTGCTCTGAGAGGACTGCCTTCCAGTGACTTCACCAGCTCCTCCAAAGCCAAGTCATTCAAGCTTGAAAAATCAGTCAGAAGAATTTCCTTTGTTAACTTGAGAAACAGTGGCTCAGTCATAAGAGAAGCATTGGTAAATGCCCAGAGGAATCTTACGAGTTGCAAAGGTTCATACACTGACAGATCCTGTGTCATAAGATGATTTTCAATGAGTTTGAAGAGATCCCGGATGTAATTTTTAGTCTTGGCAAAACTATTTGCAATCATGACTACCCCTACTGGTGCAAAGTCCAGATCACTATGCTCAATGATCTCGGCGGAAATCTCTTGGAACAGATCAGGAGATCGTATATTTTGCTGAGCATATGAACTGGCAATTTGTGCAAATTGTTGATTAGTGAAGCATGCCAGCCCTTGCTGCAAAATTTCCTGCTTAATACACCTGAAAAGAGGTTTCACATTCAATCCAACTTCTGAAAATGACCAGAGGATGATAGTTAGTGACCTTTCCTCAAATTCTGTCAAATCACGTCTCAATATTTCTTCCCTTAAGACTGCAAAAAGCTTGGCACCTTTTTCCAGTGTCCGTGCATAAGACCACAAAAATTGGCAGATTTCCTTGACCTTAAAAGTCGACAAATCCCTCGCCATTATTTCATTCCTAATAATTTTGTAAAGGTGCTTTGCACGGAACTGTGCTTTACCATAAGCCCAGAGAATCATTGCAAGGTCAGCATTTGTGAACAAAGTGGGATCACG